CGCGGGTGACAGAGGTGACACCGATGGGGACACGCGGGTGACGGAGGTGACACCGGGGGACAGATGTGGGTGATGGAGGTGACACCAGGGGACACGCAGCTGACAGAAGTGACACCAGGGGGGACAGGGACAGGTGATACTGATGTGGACACAGGTGCAAGTGACAGAGGTGACACTGGGGGGGACACGCGCAGGTGACACCGACAGGGACACGCGCACATGACACAGGTGACACCATGGGGACACAGGTGACAGAGGTGACACCGATGGGGACACATGCAGGTGACAGAGCTGACACTGGGGGGGGACATGCACAGGTGACACTGTGGGGACACAGGTGACAGAGATGACATCAGGGACACACAGGTGACAGAGGTGACACCAGGGGACACGCGGGGGACAGAGGTGACACCAATGGGGACATGCACAGGTGACACCGCAGGGACACGGATGACACAGGTGACACCAGGTGACACACACAGGTGACACCAGGTGACACACACAGGTGACACAGGTGACACCAGGGAACACAGGTGACACCAGGTGACACACACAGGTGACACAGGTGACACCGGGGACACGCTCCCGGCTGTCCCGGGCGCGGGGCTCACCTGGAAGACGGCTTTGGCGCGGAGGCGCTGGGCCAGCAGCTGCAGGGCCTGAGCGTTGAGGCTGCCGGCGCTGTCCATGTCAGCCAGCAGCGTGGGGAACGCCTGGGGACAGCGCCGTGTGACACGGGGACAGCGCCGTGTGACATGGGGACAGCGCCGTGTGACACGGGGACAGCGCCGTGTGACACGGGGACAGCCACCACCCCACCAGGGACAGCGCCGTGTGACACGGGGACAGCGCCGTGTGACGTGGGGACAGCGCCGTGTGACATGGGGACAGCCACCACCCCGATGGGGACAGCGCCGTGTGACATGGGGACAGCCACCACCCCACCGGGGACAGCGCCGTGTGACATGGGGACAGCCACCGCCCCGATGGGGACAGCGCCGTGTGACGCAGGGACAGCCACCGCCCCGATGGGGACATCCCCACACCCGTCCTGCTGACACCTGGCCCGGCACGATGCCCCCGGCGCAGCCTCGGGCCACGGGGAGGCCACTGGTCAGCCTGGGGTCAGCGGTCACCCCTGGGCTACCGGGGACACCAGGTGTGACCCCAGGGCCACCAATGACCCCAAGGCCACCAATGACCCCTGAGCCACCAATGACCCCACAGCCACCCGGGACCACCCATAACCCCAAGACCCCCAGTGACCCCAAGGCCACTGACCACCCCGAGGTCACTCACCACCCCAGGACCACCCATAACCCCAGAGCCACCAATGACCCCAAGGCCACCAATGACCCTGAGACCACCAGTGACCCCAAAGCCACCCGGGACCACCCATAGCCCCAGAGCCAGCAATGACCCCAAGGCCACCAATGACCCCAGGGCCACCTGGGACCACCCATAGCCCCAGGGCCACCAATGACCCCAAGGCCACCAGTGACCCCAAGGCCACCAATGACCCCAGGGCCACCCAGGACCACCCATGGCCCCAAGGCCACCAATGACCCCTGAACCACCGATGACCCCAAGGCCACCAATGACCCCAGGGCCACCCAGGACCACCCACGGCCCCAGGGCCACCAATGACCCCAAAGCCACCCGGGGCCAGAGATGACCACGGTGACCCCACATCCCCGGTGGCCACCGGTGGCTTTGGGGTGACCGCAGACCCGTGACCACCCCGCGGCCAGCCCGCTGCCACCCGCGGTGTCACCTCAGTGGGCCCGAGCTGGCGGTCCCCCACGAAGGTGGCGTTGAAGCGATAGCCGGAGGGGCCCAGGGTGCTCATGTGCACCGTGTGTGTCACCTGCGGGGACAGCGGGGGTCACAGGGGACAGGGGACACGCGGGGACGGCCGCCCCAGCTGTCCCCTCCCTGACCTGGAAGTGGCTGCTCAGGGTCTTGGTGACGATCAGCTTCACCCCCTCCATCTGCGGCGGGAACACCTCTGGGGGGACACGGCTGTCACCCGCCTGGGGACACGGCTGGCACCCCCAGACGGGCTGTCACCCGCCTGGGACACCGCTGTCACCCGCCTGGGGACACGGCTGGCACCCCCCTGGGACACCACTGTCACCCCCAGACACGGCTGTCACCCGCCTGGGGACACGGCTGGCACCCCCAGATGGGCTGTCACCCGCCTGGGACACCGCTGTCACCCGCCTGGGACATGGCTGTCACCCGCCTGGGGACACGGCTGTCAGCCGCCTGGGGACACGGCTGGCACCCCCAGACGGGCTGTCACCCACCTGGGACACCGCTGTCACCCACCTGGGGACACGGCTGGCACCCCCCTGGGACACCGCTGTCACCCCCAGACACGGCTGTCACCCCCCTGGGAACACCCAGTGACCCCCCAGACGGGCTGTCACCCGCCTGGGACACGGCTGTCACCCCATGATGGGCTGTCACCCTCCCTGGGACACGGCTGTCACCCCCAGACACGCTTGTCACCCCCCTGGGGACACCCAGAGCCCCCTTGGAGACCCAGCTGCCACCCCCCACCCTGGGGACACGACTGTCACCCCCCAGACAGGCTGTCACCCCCCAGACACGGCTGTCACCCCCCGGGGACACGGCTGTCACCCGCCTGGGGACACCCACAACCCCTTTTTTGGGGACAGCAC